ATATGGATACCAAAATCTGTTTCTAAACAACACGACTTAAAAACTGAAGACTGACACCCTGTAAAAAAAAAAGAAAAAAAAAAGTAAAGAAAAAAGAAAGAAACCTGGCTTTCAAAACGTTACTGCAGATTGATCGACGTTCCTTATTCCTACAGCTTTAGAGTGTGGACTAACAAACATCAAGTGAGACAAAGCATCCAAACTACTGGATGTAGGTAGGGGGTGCTGGTCCCTTCTCAATTAACGATCAAAGGGAAAGAAAAAATGTGGAAGAAAAAAATTGGAATGGAAGAGGCGAGAGGATGGGGTGGGGGTAGGTGGATGGCGAGAAACTACAAACTTCGACTGGCCCCTAAGGGGGGTTCGACAAAGTGGTCCCCGCGGCACACCCCAGAGGGCCGAAGCAGGCCCAGGACAGACGAACAGAGCGGCACCGCGGTAATACTCACGCATGAAGGAGGCCCGGCCGGTGGGGCGGGATCCCTGGGAGGAGGCGGCGGCTTTACAGGCTGGACCCCAGGCAAGAGAACTCCCTCCCCGCGTTGAGGCGCTCCAAACTAGCTGCTTGTCCGTAGGCCGTCCCTGCTCGGAAAAGCGAAATAAAGTGTCCAAGCTTCGAGCTACCAGACGCAGACCTAGACCCGGATTCTGATTCAGTGCCAGAGTCAGAGCCAGACCTCAAGCTAGAGACTGAGCCCGACCCCGTCAGCACTCATCCTCAGCCTCCATTACCGCGGAGCTGAGCAGACGTGGCAGCGCACAGCGATGACGTTAGCTCTGCGACGGCCGGGCGCCCCAGCTGCACGCTGGCCCCCAGAACTACAAACGCAGCTCCGGGAGCGAGCACCCCGCCCACTTCTGCGTGCACCTGCGCAGTGGGACGCACCTTCTCTGCTGGACTCGCTGTTAACTCTAGCTAACATATTTTCCCCTTGAGCCTTAGACCCAGCCCCTGAGGGCTCTTGTTATCGCACGGACTCCAAGTGGCAACCATGTATAAGTTACCGCTCCCATTTTACAGATGAGATGGGAGATGCCATCTAAGGTCACATCACTGCTAAGTAAAGGAGCCCGCGCTGAGCTGTCTTGCTTCAGCGTCCAATCCTACGCTTATTGTAAAGTGAAGGGCTACATAGATGCTGGAGTTACAAAAATGGCTACTACAAAGAGCTCACAGTCTAGTGGAAGAGACAAGACACTAGGAAAACACAGTAATTACAATTTATTTCAATAAATGCAAAGTTAAAATTCTGCCCAAATTCCAAAGATAACATGAAAAGCAGCATAATAAATTCTGTGGAATGGTGGTGGTGTCAATACCAAGAAAAGCTTCATAGCTTGGGATTTAAAGCTAAAACTCCCAAGAATGTATACGTGGTTCGTGGGAGAATGGCTTTCTCGTAAAGGAAGTGGCAGTTAAAAAGGTAAGGCGATAGACAACATCAAGATGAATTAAAAAATTGCCAATACTTTGATATTACAGTAAAAGTGTTAAAAGAGCACTTGTGTGAGTTCTCTAGTTCTAGAGATTTTAAGTGCCTTAAAAGAAAGCCCTTTGTATCAAGTATATGATTAGTTAACCGTTATTGATAGCTTTTTTTTTTGGTACTACACACTAGACTAGTAGCTATATGTACTTCATTTAACTCTCATAATGCTTAAATATTACCATTGTTCCTATTCCTCAGAGGAACTGAAGTTAAGAGAAGTTAGATAATTTGTTTAAAATAACCCAGCTAATAAGTGGCAGAGCCATATTTTAGAGCCAGGATGACCAGTATCAAAACCACCAGTTAGTAATATTCCAAAATGTTCTTACTGTCCTAATGTACCACATAGAACTTTCATAAATATATAAAATCCAACACAGATTACATATTTTTATTATTCTCGCTCATAGGCATAAATAATTTTGCACATTTATTTTCATATTTGCTCTGTTAACTGTTTCCTAGCTACACTGAAACTCCTTTGCCACTTTTCTGTTGGCTCCCCAGCATTCATCCTTCATTCAGCAGTTATTTATTTAGTGACTACATGTGTACTAGGCACAGTGTTAGTGAACAAGACACATATGTCTTTTCCTTCCTAGAGCTTATATCCTAATGGGGGAAAACATTTATTTAATAAATAAAATAATTACAGATTGTAAGTATTATGGAGACAAATAAGGGGGTAAGGTAGACAATAAGAAAGGTAATATCTTGAGGGTATCTGTCTGAGGTAATTACATTTCAGCAGAAACCTGAATGTTGGAAAGGAACCAGAAATGCAAATATGGTAGAAAAAAGCAGTCCAGATAGAAAACAAAATGTATGCAGAGAATTTAAGGTGAGTTAGAGTTTGGCATGTTTGAAAAACTTGACACAAAGCTGTATAGCTAGATCATGGTAAGCAAAGGGGAATGTGGTGTTAACTTCTACTACTGAAAGTCTTTTTTTTTAATGAAAGGTTTTATTGGGCCAACAATGTTAGCCAAAAAGAAGACCAGTCTTGGGCATGAAGTCCAAACCATGCAGCGATGTGGCTAAATGAAAAAGACATACATGTCCATCATCTCAGAATTTTGCCAGTTATACGTCAATTGGGGGTTGGGGGATGTAAGCTGTTCTGAAAAGGTTTATATTAGCTATAGGCAAAGGGAATGAGAGAAAATGAAGGGAGTTTTTTACTTCTGGGATAGGCTTAGCAGAGTTGCCAAGAAGAGGTGTCTGCTGTGGATTAGCTATGAGCAGCAAACTGGAAAATTCATATGGAAATAAGAAGTGTAGAATCGTGGAAATAGCCACCTGGAAATTAATCCTAAATTCCAGTAGGTATACTGGAATGTGACCATTCTTTTGTCAGAGCTGATCCATAGCTATTAACAGACTAACTGTTCAGTCTCTTTCTCTCACTTTCCAGCAGCTGTAATTTTAATCCAGAACATCTCAGGATATTTTTTCTTGTCAGCGGCATGAAATGAATTTGAAGACACAACCAAGAACTTGAACATGGAGGGTTTTTTAAACCATAGTGTTTGCAGTTTAAATTAGTGGCTTCCATAGGACCTAAAAATCTGTGGTTTTCATAAGCTCCAGGAGGATTCTGGCACTTATTCACAGATAAGAAGCACTGGAATAAAACACCTCGCCTATTAAGGAAATGAAACTATTATTTGGATTCACATGCAGCTTATTCTTCCTGTATATAGGGCCCACTTAACTCCCAGTCTTGCTACTCTTCTTCCACACAGATAAACACTGCAAAATTGCAGAAAATATGGATTTCAGTTCAAAATCACACAAAGTGATTTCCATTTCTTCTGATCACAGAAACAAATTGTGAAAAAGAAAGGCTATTTTATTATTAAAGTTTTAAAAATTATGCTCCACTATATTCATTTTAGACTAACTTTGAAAATGAGGGTTACTGTGGTGTTCATCTGTGTAGTATACTCCCTAATTATGTGCTTTTGATGAACATTCATTTTGAAGTACTGCGACCTTCCTGGAAGTAAAAGAAACTTTGACTCAAGTTTTCATTTGGATTCCTGAAGAAGTCTTGTATGATATAGTGTCGGAGATCTATTTTCTCCTCTTGCCTTCTCATCCAGAGTGATATAGCCCATTCCTAACCAATCGACATTATTTTATCTTCCACCATTCCTCAACATGCATCACCCCAAGTTCGACCCCCACTTTCTGCAAATTATAGCTTCCCTTTTTTAGTGACTCTGGCACAATATTTCTTAACTGCAACATTTCCTTTTTGTTCAGCCTGGAATATACCCTTCTTACCCCTTCCTCCGTATTTCCAGTTCATATTGATCTTTCCCTCCACTGAAACCAGGAACATTTACATATTTTTTAAGTTGTAAATTATCCCTGGAGAAAGCTTATTTGTCTCCCCACTAGTTCTAAACTCCCCCAGGGCACAGATCTCATCTTGTTTTTCCACGTGTTTCCACGGAACCTAAGATGTCACTCTGAATAGTTTAAACAATAGATAAATACTTATAGTTCTATATTCTTGTAGAATATTTATACTATCCAGTGTAATGTTGCCCACTGATAATTTTCCATGTTATATAAATTCTATTCAAAATAGAATTTGCAAGGCCTTGGGTCTTAACAGTGCTGTATACCAGCAGTTCCCAACATTTTTGGCACCAGGGACCAGTGCTCCTATGAGAATCTAATGCCTGATGATCTGAGGTGGAGCTGAGGTGGTGATTCTGGGGAGCAGCTTCAAATACAGATGAAGCTTGGCTCACTCCCCTGTCACTTACCTCCTGCTGTGCAGCCGTGTTCCTAACAGGACACGGACCAGTACTGGTCCATGGCCCAGTGGTTGGGGACCCCTGCTATATACTATTATGTGGGGGCTAAACCTTTTAAGTTCTTCTAGCTGGGCTAATAATCAAATTAACAGAGACAGAGTAACAGGAGAGAATCAAATTATAATACATACCCATGGGGAATTCACATAAGCATGAAAATTCCAAAGACAATATGGCATTGAGTATATGTGACATTTTGGACAAAGGAGAAAAGGGGAACGGGGGTATTCTATTTCAGAAGTGAGAAAGGGCAATTTACAGGTAGTTGAGGAGTAGTGGAACACACAGGCAGGCAAATTCTTACTAGCCACCTCAGAAACAATGAGACATAGGGGTATCTGCCTAACAGGTCCCAGCCAGAAGCCCTCCTATTTACCATACTTAATTCAAATTAGGCTAAGATAAACATTCTAAGATCCAATTCCTGGAGTAGACCTTTCCATCTGGATCTCTCAGGCAGGAAGAGGGAGAGTCAAAGGTTCTTTCTGAGTTATTTTTTTTCTTAATAAACAGTTTAAAATCAAATTCCAAAAGGCAAAACTTTTGGTCCCCTTCCATAGCTAACCACATAACTTGGCTCTAAGCAAAGGGCTACACCCACTCCCCACCCCCCAGCCAGACGCTGGGAAGCCGGAACTTCCTAGCGAGTATTCCCTAGGAATCTCCGCCATCTCTGTGTGGGGCGGCCCTCCGCCCACGTGGTGCGGCTCGCACGGCCATATTTGTGCGGGGCTGCTCTTCCGCCCGAGCTGCACCGGAGATTCCGCAGGGGCCCGCTAGTGATGGAGCGGTGGGCCCGTTCCCAGGTTGGGCTGTGCCTGCTATTGCTACTTCTGTCTCCAGTTCCGGGCCGCCACAAAGAGCCAGGTGGGCTTCGGACGGGGCGGAACCTGTCGCTAGGGCTCCGGGTCTGGCTCAGTCCAGAGATGCTCTCCCGGCTCCTACCCTCAGCTCCCCGGTGCAGCCGGCACCGGGTTGATGCTGTGGTTGCTGTAACGCAGAGCTGGGCAGAGGGTTCGAGTTGGGCAGAAGGCTCGAGTTGGGGTGGGGGTGGGGATGGGGGTGAGGCGCCTAGGAGCGGATAGTGAGCTTCTGGGTGTCTAAAACTTCGTCTCCTGCCAAGTACCATGGAGAGTAACCTATCCTCCAGAATTCGGAGGACTGAAGTGACTGGGAGGACACAAGTATGACATGAGTGGGTAGGAGAGGGAATTCCTCTGTACACCCATAGCGGGCATCGCACGTGTTTGGCAACCGCACCTCCCTAAAACAAATTGGGGACTAATTCGTGTGCGTGTGTGCGTGCGTGTGTGTGTGTGTGTGTGTGTGTGTGTGTGTGTGTGTTTAGGCCATTGCCAGAAGAGGTGAAGCTCCATAGGGTTAACGTCTGTAGTTTTTAATCGATCCTCTTTAAGGGACCCAGTTTGATTACAAAAAAGCAGGAAATCCATGCACCAGTTTATGCGCAGCCTTTTGAATGTCAGGCATTAAGCATGGAAAATTTCCAAAATCTTGGACACCCGAAGGCCCTAGTAGAGGAGCAGACTTGATATGAGTGCTAGGGAGTTACAGAATGAATCCTTACTGGCATTTACTTTCCACCAGTGGGATGGGAAAGGGATGTCTAAAACTTCTGTAGATTCTGTTTGCCTGCTGCTAGCAAATAAGAATGCTCAGGGCTATTTTGCTAAACTTCATTTACTTCATTTTTCAAAGGTTCAAAATGGAAAGTACTTATTGACCAAATAAACAGGTCTTTGGAGAATTATGAACCATGTTTAAGTCAAAACTGCAGCTGCTACCATGGGTGAGTTCTTTGATTTGTCTTTGAGAATTGAGTTCTTGTCACAAGGAAGTCCCTTAAGGTTCACAAGAGACCTTGGTTACAGTTGTCAGAGAGCTAAGCATGTTTTGAAAGCAGGCAGGTTTCCTGAGGTGGGTTCCTATTTCTAGGGAATAACAATGCCCTGAGATGGAAGAGGCCCAGGTGGTCTCAGAATTGCCATTAACTCCCTATGAGAGTTAGCACATGTACTTGTCTGTTTTCCCAACTGGACTTGTTAATTTCTTGAGATCAAGGTCTATATCTTATTCATTGTTGTATTCCTTGTGCTTGCTCTCAGTAAGTACTCAGTGAACACTGTTGAAAGCATATACATATTTATAAATGAATTTAATCACACTTTTCCTGTTGGTTATTTTTAAAGTATGCTAATTACAGCTGGAGTGTGGAAGAAAGATTACTATGAAAGCAATAATTAGCTTCTAGTCCCACATCTCCCAATAATTATCCTCATGGCAAGCCATTTAGCTTCTTTGGGTCTCAGATTCCCCATTAGCTAAATATCAGAGTCTTTTAGCTCCTCATTATGTTATTCCATGACTCTTCAAAAAATTTACCTGATGCTTATGTTACTTACTGAAAACTTGCTATGTACTGAACTTTAAAAGGGATACAAACAGTGTAATTTTTGGTTATTGCTATTAGTTTGTTAAAATACGGGGTGGGTGGGGGCCAGACAGACCAGAACAAGGTAATCAGATGGTGTCAGACTGCAAGGCATAAACTATACCTTCTGTGGGATTCAGAGAAGGGGAGGTCAATGGGACTGCAGTGACTGGGAGGGCACAAGTATGACATGAGTAGGGAAGGTGGAATGTATATCAGGCAAGGGACAGGTAATCCAAATAGAGGGAGGAAGAAGAAAATTTGACTTGCTTTTGTCTTTTCGTGATTTTGTTGTTAATGAGGTTCTAGATTACCTAT